GTGGTCCAGTGTGGACCCAGTTTTTGTACTTTTAAACACATCATCTAGATTTTGTGAGCTGCTCGTAAATTCGTAATATATGACTACTCTTTTTTTTTTTTTTTGCTAAAAACTACTCTATTTTATTTAATAAAATAAAAAAGTGATCACTATTTCTTTGCCTATTATATATATACACACACCCATTAAAAAACAATGGACATATTTTTACTCGTTTTAACTTTTAACTATTTTATGTGATTTGGGTGGGTAGTGTGGTTCAATACTGGCTGCACCTATATATTCTTCTTATGTGACAACTTTTTTGTTTTTATTTATTTTTAGGTGGCTCCTTTTTTTTGTATTTTATAGTCTTCACTTTCGACTGCGTCCAGTAGTAATTTGACGTCTCTAGTTTCGTTGGTCAATGAGAATTTCAGTCATCAGATGAGATGCAAGCTCTATGTTTTATTATAAGAAATGCATTAATTTTGGAATAGTAAAATTTCTCATTTTTGTAAATTTACTACATACCATACCAACACCATGTGCCCTGGTTGTTTATACAAAGATTATTGCAGAAAAATAAGTCGAGGTAACTTGCGTTCGATTGGTAAATTGAACATTAGAGCATTTTGATCTAAATATGAATATTATAAAACTGGTATATGCAACTTATTTATGGCTCTTAAGAAAATGGGTGTAGTTGAAAACTTGTATATGAATTATCCTGATATTAATCATTTACTCGTTCAAGAAAAAAGAGAGAAGGGATATATAAAAGAAAAAGAACCCATACGAATAAAAGCATTTCACAAAAATGAACATGCAAGAGAGATTAATAGCCATAAACCTGTGATTTCATTGATATCTTTGCAGTTTTTTCCCAAAAATAGTAATTTGATGAACAATTTTCACTACTATCTACATGATGAACATCAAAAGTATTAAAAAGAAAACTAAAAAAATTGAATAATTATATGAATATTCCACTAGTCTTTTCAACAACATACGAAGAATAACTCTCATAAAAGTGTTTGCACTCATTGAGAATTGAGTTCGTTGTCTGTACGGTTTTCATCATGAGGGATATGCAAGAATCATGTTTTTTGGGATACAAGGTGAGTCCTTCCAAACCCTAGAGTGCAACTTAAGCAACTCCTTTGCTTTATCTTTAGTCTTGCTTCCACAACTAACCTGAAGCACAAGACACATCTTGGCTACAACTCCCAACTGTAACATCTCGTTAAGCAAAGCCGGCGTCGCGCAGAACTTTCCCACCGACAACAAAACCCTAACCGCTCTGTCGCTTGCCGTCTGCGAAACCCTCAATATCTTCTTACACACCACAGCTATGGCTGCTCCATGGTTCAAGAACTCGGCTCGTCCTTCCGCACACTGACACAGCATATCAAGAACCACCATCGCCATCTCTGGACCTCTTCTCTCTGATGAGAAACTCTCATCCATGAGAAGCTCGATTATCACGGAGATCGCTCCAGCTTCCACGGCCTTGTGTCTGTTCCTTCCCCATGGACATATGCTCACTAATATATGCATCGCGGCTTTTGTTGCCTTGTGCGAGATCTGGTCGTCCAAGATCTGAACGACCTCAATGAAAACCTCTTGCTTCAAACTCATAATCTGCATTGGATCCGCTACTTCAAGAATGTTCTTGAGAAGCAAAGTTGCATAGGCTCTCGACTCGTAGATCCCTCGCTGCATGATCTTCGTCAATGACTTTACGATATCGTTACCTTTCTTGTTGTTTAAAAGATTCTTGAGGACTGTCTCTGAGATCTCGAGATGGTAGAGTAAGCTTAGAGCTTCGTCGGCCAAAGACTCAAACCCATTTTCCATGTCGTTGTTGCTTACGATGGTGGCCAAGAACTCCGGTACTCCCGCAGCCTCCAAACACCGCTTGTTGGTCGCGTTCTCCGACACAATCTGACGTAGTCGTTTGAGACACTTGACCTTGTTTTGATGAGAAGAGGCTGAAACTTTTATGAGCTTTTCGATCTCTGATTTACAGATCGGATGTCTCGGTGTTGGGATCCTCTCTACACCGTAGGAGGCGTTTAAGGTGCACCAAGATTGGATGAGACGGCGAAGAGTGTGGTTTGGAGTGAGATCTGCGTCGGATATGTCTTGTTTGGTGACCGGACACGAGTTCTTCTTACCGGAAAAGAGCCATTTCTCGATGCTGTCTCTGTCGTAGGTTATTCCGGTAGAGACTATCACCGGATCTTTCATGATCTCTAGAGAGATGGGGCAGAGAAAGAACGGAGGAATCTCGATATCTTCATCCATTGACTCTCCGGAAAAAATAATGAAGAGGTTGTGAATTTGATGGTAAGCAAGATAAATGAATATATTGATCAAAGAAGCTGAAGAACAAAAATGAATATTATATATTTTTTTCTTGCTACAATGCGTAGTAGTTGGGTTTGGGAAGATGTGAATTGGTTTGAATAAGTGAGGAAGAAGAGAGAGGAGGAGGTTGGGGTTTAAATATAAAGGAGATTGCAAAAATTCACAATTATTAAAAAGGTCAAAACACGGAATATACAAATAAAAATAGTATTATATATATGCCACAAAGAGAAAATTAGCTGTCTCTATTTAAGTTTATAATATATTTAGTATTATTTTCTTATAGAAGGAACGAGGAACATAGATTTGACTTTTGTTTTTTCTTTTGAGTTGGGTGGTGTAAAGAAAAATAAAAAACACGTGAAAGGCGTTAAAGAGGTTTGACCTTTCAAAGAGGAAAATTGTTAATTAGTGGATAAGAAAATAGTACTCCCTCTGTTTCAAAATATAAATTGTTTTAGCAAAAAACAACAGATATTAAGAAATTACTTTTCAACTAAAAAATATTATTTAATATATCTAATAAAAATAATTTGACCAATCTAACAAAAGACTGCAAAATACTAATGGTCACACAATATTCAATAAAGTTAAAAGTACCTAATATTGT